GCGGCTCCCGCAGCGCCCCACTGCAGGTGAGGTGCGGAGTGGGTGCGCGAGGGGCAAGGACCTGGGCCGGGGCTCCTGAGTTGGGTAGAAGCCGGAGGGTCTGACCCCGGACCCGACTTCCTGCTGGCAGAGACCAGGTTAGAAGGAGGGTAGGTGAGGGTCGGCCTGCAGAGGGCGAACAGACCCCAGCGCCGCTCCTGCCCCCGGGAGCCCGGCAAGCCTGCTTGCCTGCTGGCTGGCTGCTGCGGACCGGCTCCGCTTCGGTAGGCAGGGCACACCCTGCACTCAGGCACTCTCACCTGTGGCCTCCTTCCTACCAGGATTCCTGTCCCAGTTCCCCAGACATCCCCAGCTCCCCTGCCCGTCCTTCGCCCGCCAAGAAAGTGAAGAAAACCTCTGCCCCTGCACCAGCAGCGCCGAAGGACAAGGTGAGAAGGCAGCATCATGGGAGGTGGGGAGGACAGGGAGTGGCTGGCCGGGCCTGACACACCCTGTGTCCCCAGGTCCCCTCCCAGGACACCCTCGCTGAGCTCCGGCTGTGCCTTCAGCGTGCCCGGGAACTGGGCACACGTGTCCAGGTACTGAAGGCCGGGGCTCAGGAGGCTGCTGAGGAACCCAGCCCACCAGAGGCTGAGGGCGCTGCGGAGCAGCCATGGTGAGTCGGGGGCTGGTGGCCAGGGACCTGGCAGAGGACCGGCTGTGCTAGTCCACTCCGACTAAGGGAGGCTCCAGGCTGCTGGGGTCGCTGAGCGCCCACCATACTGGCACAGAGGAAGCGGAGGCTCATCTGTGCCCCTTCCCTTGGGGCTGCTCTTCACAGGTGGAAGCACGCCAGGGCGTTGTGAAGGGTGCGTGGTTTTGCACCTCTGGCTGAGGGTCCCCAGCCACATGCCCTGCTAGGACCTGGAGGTGGTGTGGGCTGATGCTTTCCCTGAGGCTGGCTCCCTCTCCACAGTGGCCAGAAGACACCTGCCTACCAGCGCTTCCATGCCCTGGCCCAGCCCGGCCCACCAGGCCTCGTGCTGCCCTACAAGTACCAGGTGCTGGCCGAGATGTTTCGAAGTATGGACACCATTGTGGGCATGCTCCACAACCGCTCCGAGACTGTGACCTTTGCCAAAGTCAAGCGGGGGGTCCAGGATATGATGCGCAGGTAACTGGGCCATGGGGAGGCTCAGCCTGCTTGGGCCGCAGCCAGCCCTGCCAGGTTCCTTCTGATCCAGCCTCCTCCTCTAGGCGCTTTGAGGAGCACAACATGGGCCAGATCAAAACTGTGTATCCTGCATCCTACTGCTTCCGCCAGGAACGCAACATCCCCACCTTCAAGGACAACATGAAGAAGTCTGATTACCAGCTCACCATAGAGCCGCTGCTGGACCGGGGTGAGCGCTGGTCCAGGCCTTACCCGCAGCCTCAGTTTCCCCACCTGCACCTACACATCTCGAGGAGAGGGTGGCTGGGGCGAGCATGGACTAGGGCTCAGCCTGGACTCTTCCCCACAGAGCCTGGTGGTGCTGTCCCCCAGCTCACAGCCTCGCGTCTGCTACAGCGGCGTCAGGTTTTCAGCCAAAACCTGGTGGACCGGGTCAAGGAGCACCACAAGGTGAGCTGCTGCTCGGCTGTGGTGCTGCTCCTCGTGTGACCAGCTGCAGCCCCGTCCTCCCTGTACGGTGGGATGGAGCTGGTGAGCTCGGGGGCTCACCTCACCTGGCTTTGGAGGTGTTTGATTAGCACCGTGCACTAGGCAGGCAGTGGGTGTCCTGGCCTGGCAGAGCGAGCCAGGTGGTCACCTGCCCCCTCTCCCTCAGGCCTTCCTGGCCTCCCTGAGCCCCCCCATGGCCGTGCCCGAGGACCAGCTGACACGCTGGCACCCACGCTTCGATGTGGATGATGTGCCAGACATTGCACCGGCCGAGCTGCCCCAGCCTCCCGCCACGGAGAAACTTACCAGTGCCCAGGAAGTGCTCGCCTGTGCCCGCAGCCTGATGTCGCCCAGGGTGAGGCTGGCCAGGCTAACTCGGCCCCTTTGTCCTGGGGTCAGCGGGGCGGCCTGGCCAGACTTGCAGTGCCTTCTTGGTGCCCTGATGCCATGTTTGGCTCACTTGAGAGTTGACCCAGTGAGGGGTGGGCTGTGAGCCCCTGCTTAGCCGCTGTGCGCCGTCCCTTCCGCCCCCCAGGAGCTGCTCCTGGGTGCCCTGTACATTGTGCCAGGGTCTGAGGGGAAGACCTGGGTGGACTTGGGGCAGAGCCGGAGCTGGCACACAGTACCCCTTTGACTCCTCCCCTCCAACCTTGCCCACCCGCAGATGGAGAAGGCCTTGAGTCGCGCAGCCCTGTGTGCAGCAGAGCCTAGCAGCCCGGGGTCCCCTGGCCCAGCACTGCCAGCCACCCCTGCCAGCCCACCCACCGCCCCTGCTGGCACGCTGAAGGGTGTGCCCCAGGCTCTGCTAGAGCGGGTGAGTGTATGGCGATAGTAACGGGGATGGGTAGGGGCTCACAGTGACTTGCTCACCTGCCTCATACCCACTACAGATCCGTGCCAAGGAGGCCCAGAAACAGCTGGCACAGATGACACGGCGCCCAGAGCACGAGCTGAGGTTGCAGCGGCTGGAGCGGCTGCCCGAGCTGGCCCGCGTGCTGCGCAGTGTGTTTGTGTCTGAGCGAAAGCCTGCACTCACCATGGAAGTGGCCTGCGCCAGGATGGTGGGCAGCTGCCGTGCCACCCTGAGCCTGGGTACGTGTGAGTCAGAGTGTAGTCAAGGGTGGGCACAGCCCTGCTCCGAGTCCCGACCAGGGTGTCTGCAGGCACTTGGACTGTTCTCCTGATAGCCACTGGCACCTGCTGTGTGTGGGCATCATGGCCTTCAGGTTGCCTGCCTGGCTCTGAAGCCTTGTTGTTGGCTTCCCTGTGGCCTCACAGACCTGTTCTCCCTGGGGTCCTTACCAGAGTCCTCTCCTCCCAGGCCTCTGGTCACCAGGGCTGCCCACTGGGGACCCCGCTCTGTGTATTTGGGCTTCAGCCGAAGAGGCCCTGTGTCCCTTTCTGGAGTGCACCCCTGGGGACTGTGGCCCAAGGACGCGGTCCACACAGTTGGCACTCAAGAGGCTCAGCCCCAAGGGTGCTTTGTTGCTGTGCAGCCCAGCTGGGAGGTGGGAACTGGGCGGAGGTCTGTGGGACTCACATGCCCTCCCTCTGCAGGGGAGATGGAGAAGCACCTGCTGCTCCTCAGTGAGCTGCTGCCTGACTGGCTCAGCCTGCACCGCATCCGTGCCAACACTTACATCAAGCTGGACAAGGCCGCCGACCTGGCCTGTATCACTGCACGGCTGGCCTGCCAGGCCTGCGCTGAGGAGGGGCAGTGAGCTGGCCACCGAGGATGGACGCGGAGCCCAAGGCGCCTCTGCTCCCATCAGCAGTGTGCTGCACTGTCCCCATTCTTGACTCCTAGGGTCTTGTGCAGTATTGGTGGTGTTTGTCCCGTGAGACTTGACCTCTGCTGCCTGACTGCAGTCCTTGGGACACTGCCATAGGCCGGGAAGGGGGCCCAACTCCAGGAGGGTTGCACAGGAAGTGGTACTGTGCACAGCTGGCAGTATGGTTGCCAACCCCCCAACCCACACCCTGGTCCTGGAGCCTGTGAGCTGTGACCTCGCGGTGGGGGACACTGATGTCCACCCACAGGCTTGTTCTGGGTCCTGCCCAAGGCCAAGGCTCAGGCGCAGGCTGAGATCAGAGGTGACCCAGAGCTGCCCACATTGCACTGACCCTCCTGCAAGAGATGTGACCAGCAGGGGGTGCTGGCCTCTGGGCAGCCTGGATGAAAAGACAGGTTCTGAGTGGCAGTGTGGTCGGACTCTGTAGAATGAAGATAACTTGTCATTTTCTAGGTTTTATGCTAAAATAACCTGTAAGATTTAAGCTCCTTTAGACTTTCTGAAACAGCATTTCAGTGTGATCCACCGCAGGACTGTTTGGGTTGCTTATTTCTAATTTAACCTTTTCAAGCTTCAAATACGTAAGCCATGAAGGAAAACCTATTTCCGAATTGTTAGTTTCTTATAAAGCCTGACATGTAAGATGTAAATAAAACTTTGCTACCAAGATGACTGCCTTTCAGTGCAGTTTCTGCTATGGTGGGAGATGGTAGATCGTGCGTGTGGGCTGTCAAGGTGCCAAATTTAGGTTATGGGACTTTAGGAGATGGAGAAGGTGGCCCGGTGTCACTACGGGTCCTAGAGGAGCAGGGTCACATTGGCTGAGGCACAGGACCTGCAGAAGGAGCTGGCCTGCCAGACTACAAGTGCAGTCACTTGTTAGGCCACAAAGGGAGGCCAAGGGGGTGACACTGGCCACATGGGGACAAGTCCTACGTGACCTGTGCAGCCGTGCAGCCTGTCCTCAGAAGGGGACAGCCACAAACAGGTGCTGAACGCTTGTCCCAGCTGGGGCTGCAGTAGCGAGGCCAAGGCCTGGTGGAGCCGGTCAATGCTGTGCGCTAGAGGATGACAAGATGTGTATAGCAAAGCTGTTTATTGATTTTGGTCTGGATGTGGCTCTGCTCAGGCCCCACACTTCCGGAACCCACAGGACAGCCCAGGAGAACTGTGGTTGCTGGTCACTGCACCAAGGAGATGCTCAATAAGCAGAAATAACAGCTACAGCCAGTGGCCCCTACAGGTCACTGAAGGCACAGGGTGAACTGTTGCTTGTCCAGTTGAAGATGGTGTCACTCATACTGCAGGAGAGAGAAGAAGGGGACTGACCCCAGCTTCTCCCTGCCTTTCAGTGAGGTCAGCTCCACCAGGGTCACGCATTCCAGAACCTCGGCCCCCAGCTGGCCCAGCAGCTCACAGGCTGTACACATGGTTCCTGGGGGACGGAGCGAGGTTGGCACAACAAGGAGGCACTGCCAGTCTCCTGCCCCAGGGCTGAGGCCCCTCCCCAGGCCCCCGGCTGTCCCGGAGGCTCTTACCACCAGTGGCCAGCAGGTCGTCCACCACAGCCACCTTCTGCCCGGGCTCCAGGGCATCTTTCTGAATCTCTAGCTCAGCCTGCAGACAGGAAGTGGACGCTGCAGAACCTGGGAGCCAGCATATGGCCACTCGCCCAGCCTGGCTCCAATCCCACCCCGACATTTCCTGGCTTTGTGAGTGTGGCCTAGTGTGGAAACCTCTCTGACTCCCAAGTCTACTGCAACCGCAGCAGCTCCACTTGAGGTCCCAGATGCTCCCTAGGGACCAAGAGACCCTGGTGTCAGTGGCCTGGCCCTGACCACTCACCTTCCCGTATTCCAGGGCATAGGAGGCAGACACAGTGGGGCCTGGCAGCTTCCCGCGCTTCCGGATGAGCACAAAGCCCAGGCCCAGCTCCTGGGCCAGCGAGGGGCCGAACAGGAAGCCCCTGGAGTCCAGGCCTGTGGGATTGGGGAGGGAGCATTGGGCAGCAGCTGGTAGCATGACAGCATGGGGGCCACCAGGGACCAGGCTGGGGGGGCAAACAGCTCCCACAGTGACAAAGGGAACCCAGACTTGCTGGCCCACCTCTGGACCCAGTGGATCCTGTGGGCTGAGGCTGAGTGGCTCTGGAGAAGTCACCTGGCCCCTGACGGCTGGGGTCCACTGCACCCTGCCACTCCCACCTGCAGTGTCTACCAAGACGGCACCTGTGACAACAGAGGCCGAGGCCAGCCCAGCCTGCTCCCAGGCGACCCTACCCCACACACTGGATTTTGGCGGCAGGTCCTGGCAGGCAGTGGGGAGGGGATGCCTGGCAGGCCCACCTGTTCTCCCTGGCCCTGTCTTGGGCTCGCCCTCCAGTGCGAGGCACCTCCCACAGTGGACAGAGCTCTAGGGCCCAAGGCCTACTAGGATACAGCTCAGAATGCTTGGCAGAAAGGGAGGTGGCTCAGCAAAGTCCCCAGAGACAGAGGGCAAGCTCTGGGCAGTACAGCCAGGAACCTGAAACCCTGCAGGCCTTCCGGGGAGGAGACGGGCCAGTCCTACACCTGCCAGGCTAACCAAATCCCTGAAGCCCGCCCCCAGCGCCGCGAACCCCGCAGAACTTGACCCTTCGGGTGCCAGGCCGACACCAGCGACACCGAGGGCAGGGCGTGGCCAGCCCCAGCGGGAAGACGTAGGCCGGAAGCCGGAGGCCAGAGGTGGGACAGGGGTTGCTAATTCAAGGCGAGATAAAGTAAAGAGGGCTGGGCGCGCGGAGGGACGAGGAAATGGGCAAGGGGGATCAGGTGGGGAAGGAGGGGACGGAGGGCACTGGCCTGCGATGTAGTCAATCTTGCCGCCGTGCGCGGTCTTCAGGTGGCTGGCCAGCAGGCGGATGCAGGCGCGGAAGGACTCGGGGTCCTTCAGGAGAGGCGAGATGTCCCTGCATAAGGACAGTCTGTTGACGCGGGCTGGCAGGGGGTGCAGCCCGCAGGATCCCGCGACTAACCTGGCGCCAACGCTCTGGAGGCGCCGCGCAGGCCCAGCTTTCGTCTGCACCTAAAGAGCACGCCTGGGATGGGGAAGTCGGGGAAGGTGCGAATGCGCCGAGCCACCAGCTGCAGCTCCGGTTCCGACATGACCACGTGCGTCCGGAAGTCGGGGAGGGCGGGGCTTGAGGACGTGGGGCGGGG